CCGGCGTTTCAGGGGGGCGGGGCGGGAACGCGGGGGTCGCTGTGGGTCCCCGCGCTCTGCGGACGCTAACGTCTGTGTCCCCCACAGGTGCGGGCGGCGCGCTCTCCGCGCCTCGGCGCCAAGGTGAGCAGGGCCCTCGCCTGGGGCCTTCCCCGGGCGCGCGGGGCCCCGGGGCCAGGGCGGCAGCGACTTCGCGAGGGTCTCCGGGGGCCGGCGGACGGGACCGTCGCCGGAGAGTGCCTAAGCCGCAGCGCCTTCCCGAGTCCTTTGGGTTGCGGCCTCGCAAAGCTGCGGACCCCGAGGACTCCCGGCTCCCAGCCCGGCGGAAGGAGGCCGGATGAGAGTGGTCGCGCCGGCGAGAGTCCGTGGGTGGGGCGGCCCCACAGCTTCGTTGGCCGCAGCGTTGTCCTCCTTAACCGATGCTGAACATTTTGCAAACCGTCCCGAGAGAGTTCGTCTTGCTTCGTCGTCGTTTGGGTTCGGCGCCCGGACCAGCGGCCTTGCTGGGCGAAGCTGCGGAGACGCGCGCCCCGCCAGCCTGGAGTCCGAGCCTCGGGCGGCGTTCTGGGCCGAGCGCGGACCCCGCTCGCGGTGACCTTGACTTACTGATTATTTCACGGAGGGGATGCGTCAGGAACAAAGGACCGCGGACTCGGAGGCGGCGGGGCCGGACCCCGGGTCGGTGTCTCCTCGTGTCTGCGCCGAGCAGGGGAGGGGGGCCAGCAGGGTTCTTGCTTTGCACGAGGCGGACTTCGGCTACCCCGGAGGCCTCTGGTTTCCGCTGCACCAGCGCTCCCTCTCCCGCCCAGCTGGGCCACGAAGAGAAAGGCAGGTCCCTGTGCACGTGCGGGGCTGAGGCCCTGGCCCTGGGATGCTCCTTGTCTGCAGTGGGATGCAACGGTGGTGTGTGTGTGTGTGTGTGTGGGGGGCCTTGGATTCACGGGAAGGGGGAGGACGGTCTTGCTTGGGACCTGAACGGGCTGTTGCCTTTGATCCCCTGGTGTCGAGTCTGAAATGGTGACCACCTGTGGGAACAGGTGGCCTCTGTCTGCCCTGCCCCCCTGCCCCGCGGTTGTGGGGGCCGCAGGTGCCACTGCGCTCATGCTGGTCTCTGCCCTGCCGCACCGAGGAGGTGACCTTCACGTCCGTTTTGGTTCAGGCGGGGGACCTGGGGTCACGGCCAGTTCAGGTCCCAGCTCTGCGGGGAGGTAGCTGTGGACAAGTCAGACAGGGTACCGGGTCCTGGTGTTGAGGGGGGGACAGTGGCGTCTGTGTCCTGGGGTTGGTGCAGCGACCACAGCAGATGGTGCGGTGGAGCCCTTAGCACCCGGAAGGCGCGACAGAGGCCCATCCGACCACCCGCGTTTTGGTCCGCGTGGGGGCCTGCCTCTGGTCCGTGTCCCGTGGAGGCGGGGCCTGGACGCAATAGGGTGTTTGGTTGAGTGTTGATTCTGTTTCTAATTCTAAAGGGGACACAGTCTGAAACTTACCATTTTAAGTGTACATTTCACTGGCACTAAGCACATTCACATGCGTCTCCAAAACTCCTGATCTTGGAAAACGGAAGCTGCCTCATCACACAGTAACCCCCCCTCTCCCTCCGAGCGGGAGGCCGCCACTGCACTGCCTTCCTCTGCCGTCTGCCCGCCCTCCGAGCCCCCGAGCGAGGCCCGGCAGCGCTCGCTGCTCTGAGACGGGCTGCCTCCGTCAGCCTGGCGTCCTCCAGGCTGAGCGCGCCGCAGGGCGACGGGCCGCGTTTGTTCCCCATTGGTCCTGCCGGGGGCGTTGAGGGTCCCCACCTTGTGGTTATTGGGAGCAGTGTTGCCGGGCGTGGCGGTGTGCGGGTATCTCCCTCTCGTGCCTGCTTTCACCGGTGGGGTGTGCACCCCTTCCTGGGGCTACTGCGTCATACGGTAACGGCGAGGACACATTGTTTAAGAGATCCCTGGACCGCCCTGGCTGGTGCCGCTCAGTGGACTGAGCGCCAGCTTGCGAACCAAAGGGTCGTGGGTCCAATTCCCAGTTGGGGCACAGGCCTGGGTTGCGGGCCAGGTCCCCAGTAGGGGGCGCGTGAGAGGCGCCTGATGGATGTATCTCTCGCATCACTGTTTCTCCCTCTCTTTCTCCCTCCCTTCCCCTCTAGAAATAAATAAAATGTTAAAAAAAATTTTTTATGTTTGAAAGTGATTCTCTGACCACTGAAGCACAGGTGTCGGCCGAAACAGGGTATATAATCTGAATTTAAAGTGATTTATTTCCTGCGACTCTAAGGCTCCCAGTATTTAAAAAGTCATTCTGGATTGAACGATGTATACAACCGATCAAGTCAACATAAACACACCCGAGTGTGGGAACGAACTTACTTTAGGAATGTGCAGGAGCCAGGTCGCTGTGGGACGGCACCTGTTGCCGAGACCGGGGGGGTTGTGTTTCGCTGGTTCGCGTGTCACTGGTGAATAGTACTCGCTACCTAAGACGTGGTTTCGGGGGACCTCGTCCCTGTTTTCATGTGTATTGGAAGGGCCATAAGAACACTTGTTGCCCTGGCTGGCGTGGCTCAGTGGATTGAGTTCGGGCTGCGAACCAAAGCGTCGCAGGTTCGATTCCCAGTCAGGGCACATGCCTGGGTTGCAGGCCATGACCCCCAGCGACCGCACATTGATGTTTCTCTCTATCTCCCTCCCTTCCCTCTCTAAAAATAAATAAAATCTTAAAAAAAAACACTTGTTTATATAAACTCATACACGGTAAGGGAATAGTTTGTCAAAGCTATGTCACTCCACTTGGTGAGCTTTGGAGATTCAAGCCACAGACCACAGTGATTTATCACCAAAAGCAAAACAAAAAAATTGATTAAGTGGGTTCTTCTCCAGGTGGAAAGAATGCTGACCACTGAGCCTGACCTCCTCCCCACTCGGGGCCCTGGAGTGGCTGGGTCCTCCCCGTGCCCCAAGGCCCCCACCTCTACCCTCCTGCAGTGTGGGAGGGAGGGGCGACCCCGAGGTCGGGCCTGGAGGTCCAGCCCCTCGCCAGCCCTCCTGGGACACCCTGGCAGACATTGGGACATTCTCACCCGGTCACCCCCCTCACCCCGCACAGTGGCCATACCGGCTGCACTGGCCGCCTGGGTGGGTGCTGGGGGCCTCAGGAAAGTGTGTGTGGCACTCACTCGAGGGATGACTGTCCAGTTCAGGGGTGCAGGCCCCAGGGGGCTGCCCAGGCCCTGGAGTGACGTCACAGGGTCTGGCCACAGAGGGCGAAGGAACCCTGGTCCACTGGTCATGGGAGGCGGTGCCCCGGCCCAGTGCGCAATTGCAGACTGGGCGCCTCCTGCTGTGCGCACTGCAGCGAGTGCCCACCTGGGGGTGGGGCTGGGGTGCTGATCCCCGCACGCATCCTCCCACGTCGGGGTCCTGAGCGAGTGGGGTGCGTGGACGGCTGTGCACTGTCCGTGTGTCCATGGCGTGCATAGCTGGGATGTGGAGTGGAGTGTGAGAATGAGTGTGGGGTGTGTGCCGGGTGTGTGTGCGACCCCTGTGGTGCTTGAGGCGTGTGTTATGGGTGGGCGTGTGTGGGGAGTGTGTATGTTCGTGCTGTGTGTGTGGGATGCGCTGTGCCAGTGCACACGAGATGAATGTGCAAAGCTGCAGTGTGAGTGTGCCGTGGGTGGGGCTGTGTCCGTCCCTCTGGAGCCCCCAGGTCAGGGATCAGAGGACTTCACGGAACCTCTGGCCTCTGGCCCCAGCTGCCTGGGGGGGAACCATGGCAACAGACGCTCCTGCAGCCCCTCCAGGCAGGGCTGGGGCTGTGTGCTGGGCACCCCAGGACCGTGAGCTTGGGGGAGGGGAGGCGCCCAGTGAGGAGCCCGGTCCGGGTCCAGGTGCACCACCCTCCTTGGTCCCAGCTGCTTGGCGGGGACATCACTGGGGTCCTCCATGGGCCTGGGGCCCAAAGATGCCAGCCGTCCGCACCCCCAGCCACGCATGTGCAAAGCAAAGAACTCCTCCTGCTGGGTGTGAAGGCCCTGCCAGCGCCCTCGGGGGCCCGCTTGGAGGGGAAGCGCTGGTTCCAAAGAGGCCCCGGGCCAAGCGCTGCTGCTGGGCCTTGAGACGAGGGAACAGGCTGGGAACGGATCGGAGGGGGCCCGGGGAGGGGAGGGGACCTGGGTCAGGAGCTCGCTGGGCTCTGGGGAGAAGGGGCTCGTCTGGGTCAGCACGTAGCCCTCTGCTGGAATGGGCTGGCCCGGCGCCTCCAGGCTGGAACTTGGAGATACCCGAGCTCCCCTCCCACCTCCATCCGAGCCAGTGGTGTGTGACACCCTCCGTTCTCTCCCCAATGTCACACGGGGAGGCTGGGCTCCACCAGTCTTCTTCCTCCCTTTCGTCATTCATGCGTTCACTCACTCATGCATTCATGTATTTATTCACTCATTCATTCATGCATTCCTTCTTTCACTCACTCACGCATGCATGCGGTCACTCACTCACTCACTCATTTTCATAAGTTCATTCCAGAGCGGTGCGAGGTGGCAGCAGCAGAGCCACCTGGGAACTGGCCGTCAGGCAAGCCCTCACGGACTCAGTGTGCGCGGGTGCGCCCCCTCCTGCACGGGTTGGACCTGACAGCACCCCTGGCCTGGCCACCGGGTCCCCCCTGTGGAGCCAGGCAATGCCCGCGCTGTCTTGAGAGTTCTCCGGGGCCACGTTCTATCCCCGGACACACACACACACACGCCCTTCCCTCCCCTTCCGCACCAAGGGCGGTTGACTATTTGCTATATTTTCACCTGTGGGTTTTTTGTTTTATTTTTTTGGCTGAACAATGTGGCTCAGAGACGCCGGTTTCCCATCGTTCCAAGAACAGCCTTCCTTCCCCCAGGCCCTTTTCCTTTTCACACACAGCCCACGCGCCCACCGCCCCTCCCTGGTGGTCCACCCAGGGCCTCCTCCCCCGTCCCGCCCCCCACCCCACGCTCCCCCAACCAGGACGAATGGGTTTGTTTTCGATCCAAGCAACTGGGAACTTATCATACACCAGGGCCCCCGGGTGGGACGGGAGGAAGCGGCAGGTGTCAGAGAGAGTGGCACCCACACTGGCCAGGGTGGCTCATGACCACCAGACTTGTCCTTTATTCCCCTCGGGGTGCTTCCCGGCCAGAGCGCGAGGGGCACAGGCCGGCCCTGCCCGCCCCGGCCCCCCTCCCAGACTGGAGGCCCCGACAGGAGGGCAGGGCACCGGCACCCAACCCTCTGGCAGAGGGGGAGGGCGGGGTGGGCAGGGCCAGAAGGATGCGGGCGGGGAGGTGCACCGCCCCCCAGCCAGCCCGTGTGTCTGCAGAGCCCAGACTCGGGCAGGGGCACACCGCCGGCCCCGTGACGACCGGCATGGGCTGGGGCTGCGGGGTCCCTGGCCGCCGGGAGACCAGGTCCGCGGTGTCCAGTCCATCGCAGCAGGAGGGCGGGCTCCGGGCCTCCCTGGCGGCTTCTGACGCTTCCCGGTGGGCCTGCAAGAGCCGCTGCGGGTTGGGCGGGGCACGAGGACGGGGCACGAGGGCGGGTCTGCGAGGAGGTGACGGACTTGGGGCGGGGGAGTGGTGAGCAGGGAGCGGTGCGGTGACCCATCTGTTCTCCGGGGGCGGCGGTGCCACCCCCGACCCCCCGGGATCTCGGTGAGGGGCTCTGTCCCCCCCACCCAGACCCGAAAGGTCCCTGGAGTCTGTGTGCTGTGCCCCTTCCCCGCCCTGCCTCTGAGATGCTGGGCCCGACCTCGGAGCGACCTCCCAACCGCCCGCCCCGGCCCTGTCCCCGGGCTCCTGCCCAGGGCCTCTGTTCCTTTAACCTCCCGCGTCAGACCATGGCACGCCCCCGTGTCACCTCGGCTGGGGCTGCCCGCTGCCTCCCCCCCCCCCCCCCGGCCTCTGAGCACATCCGGGTTCTTTCTCGTCAGGCGCCCCCACAGCCAGCCCCACCGCGGGGCCTCCCGCTTGCCCTCCCCTGCCCCGGCTCTCATCCCCAGGGCTGGCCGGCCGGCTCCTCATCGTGCAGGGCTCACCCCAAACCCACATCCTCAGAGAGGCAGCCCCCTACCCGGCCCCCGGCCCCGCCTACAGCCTAGTCTTCGCCGCCTCTGTCTCCTGAGTCTTATTCGCTCCCCCTGCCCCCTAACGGCAGCCCCGGGGCTCCGGCCGGGCTCTGGGCCGCTGTGTGCCCGCGGAGCCCAGGTGGGAGCCCGGCCTGCAGCGGGCCCCCGCGGGCGCTGCTAGAAAGAATGACCAGCTCCTCCTGGGGCAGAGGCTGGGACATCGCAGGGCAGACGGAGGGGGGCCTGTCCTCCGCAAGCTGAGTCCAACAAGCTGACTCCCCTAGTGCTCCAGGAACCCTACCCTGCAGCCACCCCCACCGCCCCCACGACAGCTTCTAGATTGTTCTCTGGTTGTCAGGCCTGAGGAGAGAGGCCGGAAGGGGCTGCCCAGGTCTGAGACGGACCCTCCTCAGTGGGGCAGGGCCCAGGTCCACGGGGCTCGAACAGGCCCCCCCTCCCCCCACCTCCTGGGGCTCTGACCTTGCGCACTGGGGGCACTACGCGGCCTTGGCCAGGAGCACTGCAGCCAGCAGCACCCCTGTGGTCAGGGGCAGGAGGGCGGGCCCTAGGGAAGGAAAGGTGGGAGACCCAGTGAGGGGGGGACGTGGGGGCATGTCACTCCCCCCCTTCCTCGAGGGTGGGCGAGGAGCCCCCCGAGTTCATGTCCCAGCACCCCCTCTGTTCCCCTGACCCAGCACACAGGCCGTACTGAGATCCAGTTCCCAGGTGACCTTTGCCCCTGAGGTGGGTCAGGTGGGGAGGGGCTGGGAGTGGGGAGGGTGGCAGAAGATGACTCCAGGAAGGACCCCCCCAAGTGACCACATGGGAGCCCAGGCTCCATGGGACCAGGAGCCCGGAGGGGGTGTCACCCCAAAAGGCCCATCCCCAGGGCAGACCACCCACCCTCTGGCCCTCAGTCTCTGTCCTGCACGTGCCCAGGCCCACCTGGTCTCCCTCCTGCGCTGGTGACAGGCGTCGAGAGCGTGCCGGGGACTCCCGAAGTTCCTAGAAGCCAGGGACAGGGAGAGAGTGGGCAGCCCCTGCAGCTGGCAGGGGCGCCGGGTCCCCAGTGGTGCAGCCCCCTCCGCGTGCAGGCCCCTCCGCCTGCAGCCACCCGGCGGCGGAGTGGGGGCGGGCGCAGGGCAGCGCCTCACCTGCGTGGGGTGTGGGTGACGGGGTGCCGCCGGCCTCGGGCGTGAGCATAGGCAGCAGGGTGCTGAGGGCCCCATCGTTGGCCTCCGGCACGATGCCCAGCAGGCGGCACAGCAGCTCGTACACGTGGACGCTCTCGAAGGGCTCCACCTCCAGGCCCTTGCGGAAGCTGGGGCCCACGGCCCGGAAGATGGTCTTCATGTCCGTGTGCTGGTTGTCGAAGCCGTGCTCCCCGTTGTTGAACTGCACGTTCAGCCTCTGCGGGGCGGCAGGGGCGGGGCGTCGGAGTGCGCACGCAGGCTCCGCCCACCCGCCCTCTCCTTTCCGCAGTCACGCCTGCAGCCAGCCGGCTGAGGCTTCCCAAAGGGGTGCGCACCGGGGAAGGGGGGAAGGGGGGAAGGGGAGGAAGGGAGAGAAGGGGGGAGGGGGGAAGGGGGGGAAGCGGGGGAAGGGGGGGTGGTTGGGTACGGCACGGACTCTGAGCCTTAACGGATCAGTGGCCCAGGAGAGTCCCTCCAAAGACCTGGGGACATGAACGGGGGACCCAGTAAATGGGGGTGGGGGGTAGAGGTTGCCACCCCCAGGCGGTGCCCCCCTCTCCCCCCGCCCCTGACTGCCTGCCTCCTCAGCACTTTCTCCCTGGGTCCCCTCTCCCGTCTGGCCTCCCCTCCAGCACTCCCTGGGCCCTCTGCCTGCGGGGGACCCGGCTCCTTGAGCTGCCTCGTCCCTGTGACTCTTGTGGCTGATCTTCTCATACTGCCCCCTACTGGTGCACACACACGCAAACATGTACACACACATACATGCACACACGCTCCCAGGGCATGGCGGTGACCGGGATCCTTGGGTGGTCAGTGCCCCTCGAATCGGGGACTAGCCAGAAACTGGGGCGCCCTTTTAGAGGGCTAGGGGGAGCCCCAGCGGCCCCCCGGGGGCAGGGCCCGCCCTGGCCCCGCGTCCTGCGCCGGCAGCTCAGCTCACCCCATGGATGACGTAGCCGGGGTCGCTGTACATGACCAGGGGCGTGACCCTGGGGTTGTTGGCGTAGTGGAAGGACTCGGGGAAGGACTCCTTCTTGTAGACGTGGAGTCTGGGGTGCGCGTCCTTGAGGGCCTGGTAGACGGCCTCCAGCCGCCCCTCCTTGGGGAGCAGCATCCCGTTGGGGCCGTAGTCCAGCAGCTCGAACTCGATGTCCTTGAAGGTGAAGTTGGGGAACTTGTGGAACTCCACCAGGTCGCCGGCCTTCTTGTGGACGGTGGTCATGCCGTGGTCGGACGTGACGATGAGGTTGAGGCCGTCCTCCAGGCCGCTGCGCCTGATGCCGTCGCGCAGGTAGCCCACGGTCCTGTCCACCTGCTTCACCATGTCCCTCCTCTGCTGGGAGTCGGGGCCGTACCTGTGGCCCGTGGAGTCCGGCTCCCCAAAGTAGAGCGTGACCAGGTCCAGGCCCTCCTCCGTGAACCACCGCATCACCGTGTCGACGTTGGCCCTCCACTCCGTCTCGTTCTTGTAGTTGTGCAGGATGCCCTCTTTCCGGCTCAGCGTCACGGCCGTGCCCTGGTACGTGACGTTCCCGCCGGGGTAGAAGAAGGAGCCGGTCCGCAGGCCCTGCGGGGGAGGCGGCCTTGACCCTCACGCTGCCGGCCCGCTCCCGGGGCGTGACCCGGGGTTGCTGCCCCACCGCCCCTCCGGCCCGGCCTCTGTGTGCGCCCTGACCCATCCTTGCTCCCGACCGCCACCACGGGCCTTTTTATTTTTTATTATTACTATTGTTTTTACAAGATTTTACCTATTTATTTTTTGAGAGAGGGGAAGGGAGGAGGAGTGGAAGGGGAAACATCAACCAGTTGCCTCCCATACTCCCCCAACCAGGGACCTGGCCTGCAACCCAGGCATGTGCCCTGACTGGGAATCGAACCGGCGACCCTTTGGTTTACAGGTGGGCACTCAGTCCACTGAGCCACACCAGCCAGGGCGAGCCTTTTTATTTTCTGAAAAGTGTTCCACAGCTCTTATCTGGGGCCGATAACGATTTTATAGAGGACAGGGCGGGCGCGCAGTGGACTCAGCACTGAGGAGATAAGGGATGGGCAAGTGTCCCCAGATACGCAGAGTCCTCAGGGCCCCGGGGCTCTGCCCTGAGGCCGAGGCGGCTGGGGAGCACCACCCCCCTTTCCTGGCCACAGCCCGGCCTCTCGCCGCCGTGTCCACACCCAGGCCTGCGTCCTTGCCCGTCTGCCCCGGCCCACCTCCGGCCCCTTCCAGCCTTCACCCTGGTCGTGCGTCCGTCTGTCCTTCCGTCCACCACCTGCTGCTTCACTTACGGAGCCACCCGTCCGCGCAGCCGTCTGTCCACAGGTGCCCGTCTGCCCGCCAGCCTCCCAGACCGAGTTCTCGGCTCCCGCTCCCTCTGGGCCTGAGCCCGGCCTCGGGCAGCCCCTTCCCGAGCTGGGGCGTCAGGGCTGAGTGCTGCCCTTCACTTGACCTGGCTGACCGGCAGCCACATGTGTGGGGCCAGGAAGCCCCCAGAACGCTGCAGGGTGGTGGGATTCCTGGGCTGACGGCACACCCCGCCTCCTATGGCGTCTGTGTCCCGAGAACTTAGCTCCCAGCCCTGGGGGAGCTGCAGGAGGGGGAGGGACAGAGCTGTCCCCTCGTTCCCTTCTCTGCCGTGTTGCGCAGGGGGTGCTGTCCGCCGTACAGCTCCCTCTCCAGCACCGACGGGCCCGAAGGTGCAGTTTCTCTCCGGCCGGGCGGAGGGGGCCAGCCCTGCTGGTCCCTGGGCTCCAGGGAGGACCCGGCAGGGCTGTGGAGCGGCCGGCAGGTCCTGCTGACCGCCTGGCACCCTCCCACCCCGGGGCCACACTTCCCTGGACTCTGTGCCAGGGCTCCCGGCGCCGGGGCCAGGCCTGCCTCGGGGCTCACGCGGTCACGGCCTTTCCCCTCCCGTCCCCGCTGCTGCCCGAGGGGCTGTGGGGGCGGCTTTACCTGCCTCTGGGCCGTGATCCAGATGGGCACGCTGCCGTTGTCCCACCACCTCTGGATGCCCAGCGTGGCGTGGTAGGGCAGCTTGACCTTGCTGGTGGTGTTGTAGAACATGTTGTGGACCACGCCGTGGTTCTCGATGTACTTGCCTGGGGGGAGGGGGTGGCAGAGGGGACGTGGGGTAGGCGTCGTCGCACACACGGCCTCCACCCGCGCCCCCTCGGCCCCGGCAGCCCGCCACACCCTGCCGCTCAGTGCGTGCAGGGCACCGGCAGCCTCGCTGCTTTTAGCCAAAGGCTGGCGCGACCTGGGCGGCCCCCAGGAGGGGACTAATGAAATGAGTTACTGTCCGGCCAGGAAATAGCGTCCCAGGCCGGCACTGAAATAAGCCAAACGGAGGTCCGTGAGGCGTCTTTTTAAATTCACACATGTGAGTTCAGAAGATACAGGAGGAGAGGCCGTGAGGTGTGTGTCCCCCCCCCCCCCCCATTTGTGACACGTTAAGTAAAATGGTGATGTGCAGAAAGGCCAGCCGGGTGCCGACATCGGTGTGTGCCGGGCCGTCAGGGGCTCAGGCCACAGACGCTCCCGCGGGGACGAGCCGTCTGCACGCCCTGCACAGCCACGGCTCCCAGCGTGTCAGAACGTGGTGGTCTTGTCTGCAAATACGGTGGTCGCAGATGTGGTGGGCGACCGTAAGAGGAGGGCCTTCGGGGTGGGGGGCCTTCAACCCAGTGACCGTGCTTCTTACAAGAAGAAGAGATTCCCCGGTCGGGGCCCGTGGCTGGGGTGTCGGCCAGGGCCCCCCAACCCGCCTCCCGGTTCGGGGCGCGCAGGAGGCAACCTGTCGGTGTTTCTCTCCCTGTCTCTCTCACTCCCTTCTCCTCTTTCTAAATCGATACAAGCTTTAATAAGAGAAGGACGAGAGACACGGGGAGACGGCCGCGTGACGGAGGCGCTGGTGGCAGAGCCGCAGCCCCGAGCCGAGGAACACCGGGCGGCCGAGGCTGGGAGAGGCGGGCCCAGCCTCAGTCAGGAGTTCTGTTCCCGGGCAGCCGGGGGCGGGGCGGGCTGAGCACCCGAGACTGCGGGAGCCTCAGACTCACCCTCGGGCCTTTCTGAGTCCCGGCCACATCCGCCTTCTCCAGAAGGCCTCCTGGGTTGTCACCTGTCTGTGGTCACCGTTTAAAAAGGGACCACTGCCTGCAGGCTTTTACCCGCCACCTGTCTCGCCCACGGGGAGGCCTGCGACCGTGCACTGGGCCCGGCTCTGTCTCGCCTTCGTCCCCACACGGTGCCCCACGGGACAGGGCAGTGTGCGTGCCCCGGTTCCCCTGGTTGTCCAGCCCCCCCACCGACCCCCAGGCCCCGCCCGAGGCCGACACTCACCGGTGACCAGGGTGAAGTGGCAGGGGCTGGTCATGGTGACGAAGGCGGGGGTCATGTAGCGGGCTTTCACGCCGTCAAGCGCCATGGCGTCCAGGTTGGGGGTCTCCACGTCCTGGTCGTAGTCCCAGCGGAAACCGTCGAAGGACACCAGGAGCAGCTTGTTCCGGGGGCCCCGCTGGCCGACGGGCAGCCCGGCCCCGGGAGCCAGGACGGCGGCCAGAGCCACAGCCAGGAGGATGGCCGAGGGTCTCATGACGGCTGCTCCGGAGGCACCAGCACCAGGCGCGCGCCTGCAGGGGGCAGAGCAAAGTCCCAGGGTCGCCCAGGCGGGCCTTGTCCTGGTCGTCTTTGGAAATGAGACTACAGTTACCTGTGTCACCTGGGCCTGGGCCACCTCTGGCCCGGCCCTCACCTAGCACCTGCCTTTATTGACTGTGCTCCTCCCCTGAGCACAGTGCATCCTTCCGGGGAGGGTGGGTCCGCCCCCTCGGATGGCCTGGTCCCCACCCCGGCTCTGGGGCAGCCGTGTGCCCTGCTCACTGTGACCCCAGAGCCCCGGATTCGGGCGGACTTCGGGGTATGGGGGCCTCCGGCCTGCCTGGGCCAGGGTCCGGGAGCCCAGGGCCCACAGCTCAGTCCCGGGTTGGCCTTGTCCGTGGGGCGCCGCAGCCCAGGGACCGCCTCTTCCCGCCCTGCCGGGGCAAACAGCCTCCTGGGACAGGGCGGGCGGGACCACCCTGCCGCCCGGGCTGGTGCTGCTGCACCTCCCTCCTCGGCCCCGGGGGGCCTCGGAGCGGCACACGGGTGTGGGCAGTCTCGTTCGATGGACTTGGCCAGCACCGTGGTCAGAAGAGGCGCCCCCCTGTGGCCTGTGCTAAGGGGGGTCCCGGAAAGTGTGTAAGAGGGCGCCTGAGGTCAGTGCGCCGCTCTGTCTGTTGCTGTCTCTGTGCCTCTCTCGCCCTGTCTCTGGGGCTCCGCCTCTCCTTTACCAACCTTTCTGTGAAAATTAAATTCATTGGGGCGACGCTGGTTAATAATGATCCTACCTGCCTGGTGAAGCCCGTCCCATGTACCAGGCACGGGGCTCAGTCCTGGGGACCCGGCGGGGAAGGGGACACAACTGGCCGCTGACACACGCGCAACGAAATCGGCAAACAAGCGAGACAGGAAGAGTCACCCAAAGCAAATGCAGCGGGGAGACTAGATGGGGGGTCCCGTGGGGCTGTGGGCACAGCACGTGATAGGTGGGGGCGGGGCCTCCCGAGAGGGTGCGGGGCCAGAGGGAGATTCCGGGGTCCGGGCCGGGGTCCTGGGGTCGGGTGAGCTGGCAGCAGTGGCGCAGGGCGTGGGGCCCCAGAGCCGCGGCGCACAGTCCCGCGTACTTCGTTCTGGGAGCTTTTCCGCGCGGCAGTGGCACCGACGGATCTGACAGTTGAAGGACTAGCGGCTCCGTTTGTAGGCTCAGAGGGTGGTCGGCAGGAGGAAGGAATGGATGTTGGGTGCTGGGCGCGGAGGTGACTCCTGCTGGCCCCGCGGGAGGCGCTGGTGGCCCGGACCAGGGTGGGGGCTGTGGGAGTGGCAGTGGGGAAGGGAATTTGGGGGCCTCCCCCAGATTGCTCGTGGGGGAGACGGAAAAGGAACAATCCAGGTGGACGTCCAATTCAAGTCTGAGCAGCTGGGGCGATGGTGTCCCCAAAGACCAGGAGGTCAGAGGGGAGGCCACCAGAGGAGCGGAGACTGGAAACAGAGTGGAGGAGGGGGATGCTCCAGCTTGAGGCCTGGAGGCGGGTCACGGAAGATCCTGGATTTGATGCTAATAAAATCTAATATCTAAAATAAAATTTAATCTAGTGTAAAATGTACTGTCTCTGGAGCAAGATGGCTGCCAAGAATAAAGACTACATTTCCCAGCATTCCTCGCAGTGAGGCCACACCATGTGACTACATCCTGGCTAGTGGGGGCCAAAGAACAATGTCACGTGACAACCACCTCCTCCATTCCCCAGCTTTGCCGCCTGGAGCTCAGAGGCCCCCGCCCCGCCCCGCCCCGCCCCCCGACCTCCCCGCGCTGGGGGAGGGCCCGTAGGAAAGCCCAGGACAGCTCGGCCCGGCGCAGCCCCATGGCGAGAGTCAGCGCAGTGTTGGGGTTTGCGTCGCCCTCAGCGGGACGCACGCAGGCAGAGGCGACAATAGGGGGATGGCTGCTGGGTTTTGGCCGGAGGGGCCCTGGGGACGAGGGAGGGGCTGCCCCGGTGGTCCAGGGGTGAGGCGGAGCTGGTCTTGGGCAGGTGCGTGTGGGGCGCGGTGAGCGACCCGGTTCTGTCCCTGCCCTGCCCCTTCGGGCCCATCGGACCTGGGGATGCCTCCTGCTCACCCTCCCGCGTGCCCAGGTCCAGCCTGGGTCGCAGGGAAGGTGTGTCCGGCTCTGCTCGGGGCTCCTTAGCTCAGCCTCCATCAGGTCCCCTTTGCCCCCTGGTGCCGTAGCGCAAACGCCGCCTTTACCCACGATCGCCTTCCAGCAGGAGCTCTTGAGGGTAGGAGTTAGTGACACCCTCCCTCACGCGTGGGGAGTTTGAGGCAGGGAGCCGTGGACGGTCGCTCAGCGAGTGGAGCAGCTGGGACTTGAACCCGGGCTCCGGTCCTTCCCTTGGAACCATGTCTAGACGCCATGGGTTTACTGCCATTTAGGATCCGATTGTGGGCTTTGGGGCTGTTGGGTTTTTCTTTCTTCTTTCTAATAGCGCAGCTGTGGCTATCTCGGTACCACTGGCTTTTCTCTCTCTCTCTCTCTCTCTCTCTCTCTCTCTCTCTAAGGTTTTATTTATTTATTTTTTAGAGAGGGAAGGGAGGGAGAGAGAGAGAGAGAGAAACATCAATGTGCAGCTGCTGGGGGTCATGGCCTGCAACCCAGGCATGTGCCCTGACTGGGAATCGAACCTGCAACACTTTGGTTCGCAGCCCGCGCTGAATCCACTGAGCTACGCCAGCCAGGGCTGGCTTTTTTCTTTTACACGCACTGTATTTCCTCGGGACTCCTACCTGGAGGGGGACTGGGCGTTCCCACCGGCAGCGTGCTCTCGGGAGTAATTGTCCTGATGTGCTTCCTCCGCCCCACTACCTTCGTTAGGTTTTATGTTTTTATTCCTTTTGGGCGGCTTAGTGGGTGTGCAGCGAGATCCTACAATACTAAGTCAGAGAGGCGAGGACGTTTCCCAGGCCCCGATTTCCTCGCCCTGCCCCACTGCAAACGCTCATCCTCTCCTGTGACGGGCGGAGGGTCGGCCCGCTCCGGCCCTTTGTGGACTTCGCTGGGCGTCTTTTTGAAGGTGTGGGTCTGGCACCTCTTTTCTCTAGACTTTCATCACGTATATTTCCCCTCGTGGCTTTCTGCACTCTCTTGCACGCTGGCCTCTCTTCGGGTGGGAGGCAGCCCGAGGCTCCCTGAGCCCGCAGGGCCGGCCAGGCCGCTCCCTGCCGACCCCCGAGCCCAGCGCAGTGCCAGCCCAGGGTGCACGCTCGGCACACGTGGGTCAGGTGAATGAATACATAGAGGGGAGCTTTATGCAAATACCCGTGGTACTTCCTGATTAGGCAAAACATTAAAAAATATAAGCCACGTTAGAACAGCTTCAGGTTCAGGGACAAACTGCAAAGACAGAGGGTTCCCGTATGCCCCCGGGGCCGCACGGACAGCACCACGCCACCAGCTGAGTGGGCGAGCCACCGCCGAGAAGTGAGCGTGAGCTCAGGTCCCCTCCCGGCGCGGCCGCTGCCCTCGCTCCACTCCGGGATCCCTGTTCCGCTGAGTCACTACTTCTTGCGTTTGTCTTGGCTGCGACCTTTTCCCAGAGTGGCCTTGTGTTGATGACACGGGCGGTTTGGAGGAGCGGGGGCCAGGCATTTTGCAGACTGTCCCTCGGTTGGGAGTATCTGGTGGCTTTCTCTCGATCAGTCTGGGGTCCTTGCGGGGACCTCCCTTCCCCGGGATCAGGCGCCCTTCCATCACAGCCCAGCAGGGCACGAGCCGTCACTATGGTTCGTCACTGTCGCGGTGGTGACCTCGGTCCCCTGGCCGAGGCGACGGCTGCCAGCCTTCTCCCCTGTAATGTCCCTCTTCCCTCCCTCCCCTGTCCACGCTCTGCTTTTTGGAAGGCAGGTCAGTGTGTGCTCGGGGAGGGGGCGGTCCCGCTCCAGGTCCTGGGGGCAGGGCATGCGTGGGAATCATCGGGAATTCGTCAGGATGTGCGTCTTCTCCGAGTATACCGATCTGTTCAGTCACGTCCGTCAGGCCGGACCCGGGGCTGTTTGTTCCAAGCTCGGGGCTGCAGCCCAGCGCTGCTTTGTTTGTGGGTTGCTCCAGCCGCCCCGCCCTGGCCGCCGGGCGCTCTCAGGGGCTCCCACGCCCCTTTGACTCGGCCTCGTCCTCTGGTTCCCTGCTTCCTGGCGCTTCAGGGCACCCCGGGCTCCTCTCGCCCGCTCTCTGCCCCAGCCGGCCCTTCCCCCAGGGGCCCCGGCTCCTTTCGCTGGAGGTCTTTGGGACCAGGAGCTGGGTGCTGGGTGCTGGGTGCTGGGCGGGTTCCTGGCCGCTGGGGTGTCGGTGACACGTGTGCAAGTCGCCACTCCAGCTGTCCCTGAAGCCGTGGGCTCCCCAGCTGAGTCCGGGCCCTGAGGCGGGAGGCAGGGCCGGCCCCTCCCTGGTGCGGCGTCCCGGGCAGACCACCTCCGCTCCAGGGTGGGTCAGGTCCCGGGGCCACGCCTCCCGGGTGTAGTGGGAAGCACGCAGCTGCTCGCCTGCTGCTTTTCTCGCTCGGGGGGTCCTCGGGGCCCCACGGGACGGGACCCAGAGGCCTCCTCGGCCCCGGCAGCGGCCGGGGGGGTTGCTACGTGTACAGGCACACGTGACCGATGCGGCTGAGCCACACGTGGGACTGGGGCTGCGAAGACCCAGCCCGCCCAGCCCTGTGCCGGTGTCTGCTGGGGACAGGGCCGCGCCAGCCTCCCCGTCAGCGCCCCTGTTCTCTCTCACAGCCTGGTTCGGACACACGGCACGCACAGGCCTCTGTGTCTCCCGCGAGGCTGGGGGTGGGGGACACTGTATGGTCACCTGCAGGCACAGGGCCCAGCGCACAGTAGGCGGTTTACCGATCCCGGAACGCCCGGATGAGAGCCTGTGTGGGGGGCGCCGGGCATTAGCGGGGCCCTGCCATGGCCGCGCCCCCCACCGACTGGCTTCTCCTTCAGTCTGCAGCAGCG